TTATATATATATATATATATATATATATATATATATATATGTATTAGAGTCAGTTTAGAGACATCAATAAATCTTTCTTTTTTTTAAATAAAATTTTGTTTCTATAATTATATTTTCTTTCAAACAAAGTTGCTACTTCACTTCAACCTCCAAGTAAGATCTTTGCTTCTTCCCTCTTTTTATAAATTTCATATATTTAATTTCTTTGTAGTTGATTTATCTATATGATCTATGTATTTTCTAATATCATCTAATTTTATTATATTCAAGTAAAAGGTAAAAAATTTTTTTTTATTAAAATCGGTATTGAAATTTTTTATAATTAAGTTTGTAAAAATATTATTTATTTGAAAGATACATTTTATTTTTTTACTGCTAATTTATAATCATCGAATAATAAATTGATATTTTTTAATATTATAGTAAGAACTTATTTATAGGGGAAATGGTAAGAACTTGGTCGTTGAAATTTTAGACCATTTATTACGGTAGGTTGCGACCTAACGGAATTGGACACTATTTACTACAATTCAATAAATGGGTTTGCCTAATAATATGACCTACATCTAACTTTTTTTAATTCAACAATATGGATCCCACATTTTTAAAAATATATATATATAAAAATAAAAATAAAAACTCTATTGTTCCACTTGTGGCAATTTTTTTGAACATTACATTTAAACAATTTTGTCAAACTTCAAAACCAAAAATAATAATCTAGCTAGGGTCCCCTAAACCAACGTGTCTACACTAGCACCATAGTTTCACCCAATTAATTTAATTAAAAGTTCGAAAAATTAATTAAAATATTGTAGTAAGAAAAAGTGAACTAAAACTAAGCACACATTCACTTACCATTGAAAATAACTTTTACAACTCTCTTTAATTTTAATTTATTTGTCTTAATTTTTACTCTATTTTTATATTTTAATATATTGAATAGTTTCTTTATAAGTTTAATCTCAAACTTTTTTTTTGATAATTTTTTAATTTTAATTTTATTCACAAAATTAAAATTTATCTTATATTTAGTTTAAGACTATCAAATTCGAAAATTTTCATTACTTTTCTTGGACATTATATTAAATTAAAATTAGACAAATTAATTAAAACGAGAAGAGTAACAATGTAGGAGGGTATTTTGGGCAAAATGAAAAGTACCCAGATTGAATAATCCCGGGATTACATCAGACTAATCCCAGATCAATCATCAGGTGAAAGCTAATATAAAATTATAGTCCAGATTAGCATCAATTATTTAAAAAGGTTCATGAAATTCGAGTTAGGGGTATTTTAGTCATTTCAGTCATAACGCTCTCCAAAACCCCACCACACTCAACGTATTTAATTTTTTTTTATTTTATTTTTAATTTTCACCCTCCCCGTTTCACAGAAATTATTTAGGTCAGTAATTTTTTTATTCTTTTACCATCAATTCAAACATATGTCAAAAAATTAGTTTGACTTTATAACTCGTAATAGTATTATACTTGTAGAACAAATGTTTCGAGTTTAAATTTCATTAAAAATATCAGAATTTTTATTATAGAATAATTTATTGTGTAAAACTTTTTGATATAAATTAAATTTTATTAAACACTATCATATTTAAATTATATACATTACATCATCAAATTATCTTTATATATTATAGAGTATTATATCAACATAAATTATTAAGATTACAAATCTCTTGTTTCAAGGGAATTTACTTATTTTTATTTATATTTTAGATAATTTGAGATAATGTATTTTTTCTTAATATTTACTGTGTATATAATTAATTTATTTTTTTGAAAAAAAATAAATTAGATGGTGAAATCCAAAATGCCCAAAAAGCAAAGGGTGACCTACATGGGCCGGCTTTTAACTATATTTAGCTGGACAGACAAAAAACAACTTATTATCTTCATCGTCGCTATCTGCAGCTGTATTTTCTACTTCTTTCTACTCTAATATATTCCATTTACTTTTTTAAAAATACAAAAATTACACTCTTTTTTTTTTTGTTAATTATACACTATATATACAGTATAAACCAATTTTTTATATTGTTGTTACCATAAGTGATCCTTCTGGTTTTTATTGAAAGAGAAAAAAAAACTCATTTCTTGTCAATAATACTAGAAGAGAAAAATCTGAAGATTCCACAGCTAAAAGAAGCAAAGGGGTGTTATTTTTTTTTTTAAAAAAATTATTATTATATATATTTCTGGGTCTACTCTTTTTTTTTAATTTTGTTTGTTTAAATTGTTATGTATTTTAAGAGGTGTGAGATTGACAGGCAGATCCCACCGAAATAAATTAATAAATTCACCACACCCCCATCTTCATAAAAACCCCTTAGAATTCACCCTCTTTTTTTTTCTTCTGTCGTATAATTCATTGGTGTAATTGCTAACTTGCTTGGTTTACAGAAGAAATAGAGGAGGTGGAAGAAGAAGGAGGTTGTTGTTTTTTTGCAATTGAAGCGATGCTGGGCGTTTCCGGCTTAGTAAGTAGTGAAGGTGGTGGTGATAATCCAGAAAGCGGTGGAGGAGCTGGAAGCGGAGGGAGTAGTGAGATTGGATTAGGCGGTGGAAGTGGCGGCGGTGGAGGTAGTAGCGGTGGATTCATGACGGAAGATGGAGAAAGAAATTCAGGTGGAAATAGATGGCCAAGACAAGAAACAATTGCTTTGCTGAAAATAAGGTCTGAAATGGATGTTATTTTTAGAGACTCAAGTCTTAAAGGACCTTTATGGGAAGAAGTTTCCAGGTAATTAAATTCAATTTCATTATTCCAATTTCTTCACCTGACCTTCTCAATCATTATTAAGCTGCACCAGTTTCATCATGCATAAATAAAAATTGATAGAAATGGAATCTTTATTTAATTTTTTTTTTTCAATTTCTACTTTTGGGAAAAAAAATAATTAATAGAATGATTTTTATTTTTTTGGGAAATGAAAAGATAGATCTATGGATCAGAATTCCATTGATTTATTGCTTTTTTGATTAAAAGGGTTATTGTTTTTCAGTTCATTTCACTACAAACAATACAACAAAAATACAATTGTTGAGGAAATTCAGATTCCCTCCTTCCGGGTTTTGAGCCAAATTCAGTTTTGCTTTTTTGGCGTTTTTTCTTTCTCTGCCAATTCCAGCAACAAATTTTGGAAACTAATTTACTCATCTTTTTTGTATTAGAGTTCCAACTTTATGAACTACCTTTTTTTAAATTTAGCAAATAAATAAGTTTGGTAATCATCAAATCTAATAATTAAGCAAGTAAAAAAACAAGATTTATGATTGAGAAAAATGTGGTTTCCATAGAGTGTTTCAATTGTCTCCTACTTGTTTAATTAATTGATTTCTTAATTACCTTAATCTTGATTAATAATCTCATTTTTATTTTATGTGGTGAATAGTATTTTACTATTGAATTCAATTACCAAGGATTTAAATTATTGTACTTGTTTATTTACTACCATTTTTTCTAATACTTATGCCAACTGTTGTTATCATGAGCAGGAAAATGGCAGACCTTGGGTTCCACAGAAGTTCCAAGAAATGCAAGGAGAAGTTCGAAAATGTATACAAATATCACAAGAGAACCAAGGATGGCCGAGCATCGAAAGCGGATGGAAAGAATTATAGGTTTTTCGAGCAATTGGAAGCCCTGGAGAACATTACATCTCATCATTCTCTAATGCCAGTACCGTCGTCTAATACGCGTCCTCCACCCCCTCCGTTGGAAGCTACTCCAATAAATATGGCTATGCCAATGGCATCATCAAATGTACAAGTCACGGCTTCACAAGGTACTATTCCTCATCATGTTACTATTTCATCAGCACCACCGCCACCGAATAGCCTTTTTGCTCCTTCTCATCAAAATGCTCCGTCAAGTTCACCCGTGCCACTACCACCACCGCCATCACAGCAACCATCACCGCAGCCAGCTGTCAATCCGATTAATAATATTCCTCAACAAGTGAACGCTTCAGCAATGTCGTATTCAACTTCTTCGTCTACTTCCTCGGATGAGGATATACAAAGAAGGCATAAGAAGAAGAGGAAATGGAAGGATTATTTTGAGAAGTTCACCAAGGATGTGATTAATAAGCAGGAGGAATCGCACAGGAGGTTCTTGGAGAAGCTTGAGAAGCGGGAACATGATCGGATGGTTCGAGAAGAAGCATGGAAAGTAGAGGAAATGGCAAGGATGAATAGGGAGCATGATCTTTTAGTTCAAGAAAGAGCAATGGCGGCAGCCAAGGATGCAGCTGTTATTTCTTTTTTACAAAAGATAACTGAACAGCAAAACATTCAAATTCCAAATAGTATCAACGTTGGCCCTCCATCAGCACAAGTACAAATACAATTGCCTGAAAACCCACTATCCGCGCCTGTACCAACACAAATACAACCGACGACTGTTACAGCAGCAGCACCACCTCAACCAGCACCGGTCCCAGTATCGTTGCCAGTAACAATACCAGCTCCAGTACCAGCATTAATACCATCATTGTCGCTACCACTGACACCACCAGTGCCATCCAAGAACATGGAGTTAGTACCAAAAAGCGATAACGGAGGTGATAGTTACAGTCCAGCAAGCTCTTCAAGGTGGCCAAAAGCAGAAGTTGAAGCATTGATTAAACTTCGTACAAATTTAGATGTCAAATACCAAGAGAACGGACCTAAAGGTCCACTTTGGGAAGAGATATCATCTGGAATGAAGAAAATTGGATACAATCGGAATGCAAAGAGATGCAAAGAAAAATGGGAAAACATCAACAAATACTTCAAGAAGGTGAAGGAGAGCAACAAAAAACGACCCGAAGATTCCAAAACTTGCCCATATTTCCACCAGCTCGATGCACTGTACAAGGAGAAAGCCAAAAACCCCGAAACAGCTTCTTCAACGTCTTCGTTCAATCCTTCATTCGCTTTAAACCCCGATAACAACCAAATGGCTCCCATCATGGCTCGTCCAGAACAGCAATGGCCACTTCCACAACACCATGAAAGCACCACCCGTATCGACCACGAAAACGAGAGCGACAACATGGATGAAGATGATCACGATGATGAGGAGGATGAAGATGACGAGGACGAAAACAACGCTTATGAGATAGTAGCAAACAAGCAACAATCCTCAATGGCGGCCGCAAACACCACTACCAGCACCGCAACAACAACAGTTTGAGGTAAAATTAGCACAGATCTCTCATCATAAAAATAAAAGAAAAATCAGAAGTGTGGGGGCAAAAAGAAGCAGAAATTAGTGGGGAAGTGAGTGGAACATTGGGAATAGCAAGTGGGTCAACAGATTCTTGCAGAGAAAATGTCAGATTGGATCAGATCTCAGAAAATTCCGGTTGGTATGAGAAGACGGTCACTCGGAGGAAAAAAAATGTGAAGAGAATTTTACAAATCATTTCAACTTTATTTCTTTTTTTTTGGTAAGGGGTATAGTAGTGTAGTTTTTGGTGGTATAAGTTTATTTGAACTTTCATTGTTTATTTATTAATTATCAAAAATAAAGTTTATTGAGGGGAGAGAAGAGAAAAAAGAAATGGACATAAAGGAAGATTTTTGAAGGAATAAATGAAGGGACAAAGTTTGTAATTTTTTTATTAAAAAAAAAAACTCTTTTTTTTTCTTTTATTTCCTTTTTGTTCATGGGTGTAAATGTGAGAATTGGTTAAGTAGAATTACATTTCATTCCATTATAATTTATTTATCTGACTTTAAATATTTTTTAATTTTATAATCTTTAATAAAAGTCGCCAAACAAGACAAAAAGTATTATAATTTTTAAAATGAAAGTAAAAGAAATTAAATACATTGAAAGTTTTTTTTTCATAGTATTGTAGAATGTATTGATGATAATTAAATTCTTTTCTTTTTCCATCAAAACAAAGCACATATTAGAAAAATTCAAGTACATCAATTTGTGAGGCAACAATTCACCCCAAGTTGCAAAAACAGCTACTAGTATATTTTTGTACTTTGATTCCCTCAGAAAAACAAAAGAAGAAAGGATGAAAAAACATAACAACAAATGGGTCCTTGTTGCACATGATATATATATACACACAATATTACTGTAGTGTTTAATTTTCAAGAAAAATAAATAAATAAATTGGGACTTGTTCTTTTTTTGTATTTTTTCTACAACTATCACATCTCTGATCATTACTTTTATATAAATCTTTGTTTTCTCTTGTACAATTAGTGAGTAAAAGTTATCAAGAGCTAAGGGTGTGTTTGGTAGGAAAAGAAAAACTTCAAAAATTACTTACTTTTAAGCAACACATTACACAAAAAATATTTTTCCCTGTTGAAAGGAGTATTAACTTTCTTTGCTTATATGATTTCATTGGAATATTTTATTTTTATTTTTTGTATTTCAGAAAGTATTGGATAGTGACAAATAATGATAATCACTTATAAGTTTGGACCAATAGTATTATTTTTAACCCCATTGTTGTCTAGATATATAGATATAATAAATAATAACATATGGGATGGAAATTGAAATATGAGGAAAAAGAAAAAAGGGGGACCCTCAAGCAATAATAATGTAGCACAACACTAGAGCTACCTATGTAGTGGGGACATAAATAAATTATACTACAAAAGAAGAGTTGGAAAAACTTCAAATCATTATAAGTGAAATGTGCATTATTTTCATTCAAGTGTTGACTTCCACAAAAATGTAATACATGGTTATTCATCAAAACAAAGAAAGAAAGAGAGAGAGAATAATAATGACATTGGATGGTGTAAAAAAAAGAAGATGATAATAATTATTGATAAGTAGTCTACCTATACTTCATGGAGATGCCTTTTTGTTCCTCTTCCCACATGATGTGTAGGGTTAAAACAAAAAAAAAAGATTTCATATATATTTATATATAATATATACTCCTACTTTAATCTTGTTTCAATAATTCAGTTCCTTTAAAAAATGAAAGAAATTTCATCTTATTATATAGTTTTTGATGTTTGGTTATAAGAAAATAATGTATAAAAAAAAATATAAGCATGACTTAATTTAAATATTAATTTATGCATGTGAGGTGAGGCGGAATCAAGGGAGCGAAAGTTTAAGAAAATATAATGCAAATGTAAGGTCAGATATGGTATCTATGTGTATATATTGCATATTGATAATCAATTGAAATCTCTTTATAAAAATGCTACCTCAGTTATTGCATGAAACATCATGACATATATAATATTGGGACAAATAAAATTATACCAATTTCAAATTGTACATTTCTTTTTCCAAAACCATATACATTGTAACCTTTAATATAACACATATTTTACTTCTAATAACATCTTATGCAAAGTCCATTCAACATAAATTCCTTGAACTATGAGTTGATGTGATGTCCAATAACCTAGTAAATTCAACAAATAATTGGTAGCAGAGCTTGTCTTCTATATATATTCTTATATTTAACATGTTGTACAATAATACAAATATGCTTTTATTGAAAGAAAACATCAAAAAATTTCATGCATTATGTGCAAGATTGAATTTATTAAAAAATAAAACACAAAATTGATCATACCATCCATAACAAGGGAGACAAAATTACAATAAATAAATATAACTAATTATAAATATTTTAAATTATTCTTAACGAAATTTTTGACTTTTTTCGACGATAGTAATCCTCTTTCTTTGCCCAAATCCACTGTGTGGGAGTGGGTGTGGGTCCATAAAAATGGGATATATAGTAATATATGAATAGACAAAACTAATAAATAAATTGTAGAAAGTGTTATTAAATTAAATAGTAGTATAAAGTATAGAAGGTATAGTAGTAGTTGTAGTGTTAAAAGAAGAGGTGCACATGAGAAAGGACCCACACCTATTGTTGCTATCATATTTACGCCACTTAACTCTTATCTTGTTTACAAACTTTTTTTTTAGTTTAGAAATTGAAATTTATAAATTTAAAATTTAATATGATTAAATAAATTTAAAGGATTTTATACAATTAATTATGTTCTTTCTATTTAAGTATTATTAAAAAAAATTAATCCAATCTTACCAATACTTTATTTTAATTATTCAATTTGTAATTAAATATTTAATTATTTTTTTATATAATTATAATTGTAAGACAAAAAATATCTTTTTGTATCCGTAATTAATAATCTGGATCTGCCTATATTTCAATAATATATTCTGTTAAACTTCCTTTCGGACAAAATGAATGAAATTTCTAAAGTATTATAATATGATCTAAACAACCAGTTATGTAAAATACAACTCTCTCTCTCTCTAATTAATACTTCATCGATCTTATTTTATATATCATTTTCTTTTAGTTTGTATTTATATAAAACGATGTTATTTTACTCTTCTATCTTTATTTAATTTTTTTATTATTCCAATTTTCAATTAATGTATATCATTTAATCTATTTTGACTAATTAATTTAACTAATGAACACGAATTATTTACTTAATTTTTCTAAATTGGTCAAACAAATATTTTCAAGGCTTATAACTCACAATAGTAAAAAAGAAATAATATGGTAATTTGTACATTGATTTATGAAATGACACATGCTACGGACCAACTATTTATCGAATTAGATAACATATAAAATGGGACGGAGGGAGTAATATTGATCCATTATATTAAAAATATTTATCCACTTTATAAAATCCATCAATATTTTTACACTTAATATCTAATTTACTCTTATCATTAATTATTATTATTTTTCTATTAGATTTTTCAAATACATTATATTTATTATATTTAAAGGATGATATTTTACTTTTTTATTTGTAATTTCTCAAAAATATTATTAAATTTATTGTCAACAACTATTATTGAATAGAGAGATTACCATTAACTTCTCTCCCCCTCTCTATTTTTCTTCTTTTTTTTTGTTTTAAAAAGAAATTATTAAGGAAGTTACTCTGTTTCATAATTTCAATGTAACACACACCAACATGGATTAGTGTGAATACTCATTCATTTAAGTAAAGATTTCATGTTTGATTTTTTTTTTGAAATAAAATTATTTTTTTTGTAAAAGTATTTTATTTTTAATATGAAACTTTACGACGTAAATCATATTTAATTGGACTTAATGGGAATTTTCAACGCATAAAAGATAAAAAAATCAATATGACACATTTCTTTTAGTTTATTTTTTAAAAAATCATATTTTTATGCATAAGAAGATACTATTTTTAAAATTTTCAGTTTATTCTTAATAAAATTATTTATATATAATTATATAAATGTCTAATAAAATATAAATTTTGAAAAAAGAAATTAATTAGTAAATTTTGCGGTGAAGAAAGTATATTTTTTCTTGTCAGAAAGTCGTAATAGTACTGTAATCAGTCTCCTGGGCCCACATGCCCCCACCACCCTCCAAAGGAATCTGATCTTTTCTAAATCAATTAATTAAATTGCAAGTATACATTTGTTCACATTTTCTTTCAAAAACATTTTATCCACGGTATATCAAATGTACTAAGATGTCTTTTCAGGATGATTTAGATCGAATTTTCACATAGTTTTACTTTTTTAAGTCCAATAATAGTTGAATTACTGACTTAACACGAGCATTAAAAGATATGAGTAATTTTATCAAATTAAATATATATCATCTAAATATTGAAAAATAAATAGTATTTAATAGCAATGATAAAGTAGACATAAAATAATAATTTATTTATTGATTTTATAAACTGGACAAATATAATTGAATATCTCAAGATAATATCGTGAAAAAGTAAAAATAGACAGAAGAATTATCATTTTGGCTTAAACTTAAGTGCTCATAAATAATTTTAACTTTAATCCAAACACTACAAAATCGCTTTTAACATTATTTTACCTTCAAAAATATTGATCTCCCATCCTAAAAATGTCATATAGATGGTCAAAATTAAACAGTTATAAAAAATCAAAATTAACCAAAAAGAGAAGTATGATAAACAGATTGAAACAAAGGCTAGAATAATTATCTAGAAATTCTGTCGTCGATAAAAAAAAGGGGCCTAATCTAAAAAGCTCATTTTTATGAGAAAATTTAGGAAATAGCAAATATAACCGTCATAATAAAACTTTATAACTAGCACTTCCTACCTATAATTTCATTTGTTATGGATGCAACAATTTATCGTTTGAGAATATATAAATTTTGTATTTATAAATTTAGAAGTTCTTCAGTATCTCGTTTGTATATTTCATTTGTCAATATACAAACAATTTAATTTATTATGATTTTTTTCACAAATTGTATACAATAGACATGTACAAAATTCTGAATTTATACAATTGTGAACCAAATTATATAAATTCTAAGTTTTATACAAATCAAACGAAAAATAGTAATAGCGAATTACCATTTACTTAAACTATTGCTACAATATTTAATATAGGCGAGTAATGATTTTGAATTTTGATGAATGTATATTGCACAATATAATCTATATTGAGAACAACAACTGCCAGTCAGCACTACAGTGCAAGATTTTAGCTTTGCTACTTGTAATAGAAACAGAATTAATGAAGTATTAAAAGGTGACCTCATTAAAACTAGAAATATACATAATACTTTTACATTAGGAAAAAAAAAGAAAAAGGACTCTCTAGTGTATATATATTGTATACT